CCCCACCCCCAAAAAAAAGGAAAAAACCGTAAGACCTCTGTTTTGAACGCCAACACCTCTGTTTTGAACGCTAACTCGTACACCTGCAACTAAGAAGTTAAATTAAGAGAAACTGCTCGTCACCTCCATTAACAACAACTGCTCATCTTTGAGTTTCTTCTCATCAAAGTACGATACAAAATTGTACCCTTTTTATGTGAATTGATTAATAATTCCGCTAGAAAAAGGGATCTGAACTAGGAGGAGGGATGAGAAAGGCCAGAGCATAAGTAGGTTCGGGGGCAGCGGATTGAGTAAGAAAAGAGAAGGTAGTTCCCTTTCTTAATTATGGACTAAGCATAGGAATATAAACTAAGGTCCTTGAGAGTTTGCACCTTTAGCTATAAATTGTGATTGTGATTTGACTCTGTTGGACCTTTAGCCCGTCGTTCTTTTTTCCAGTTCTTTCTTATTTTGAATTAGGTTTTGCTATCTGCTATTTGGTTGTTAATTACTCAAATAGTTACTATGTGCTTGAAAAATTCTCTGTGCTTGATTGCCCGTTAGCTCCTCCACAACTGGAACAATGTCTTTTGATGCATTTACTGGAACACCAGAATTCTGCTGTTTTTTGCACTGCCTGGCAGGGGCGGCCGACGAATTTTGTGGCCTAAAACTAAATTTTGTGAGGGGCCTTATTTTTTTTAAATTATTATTTTTAATTAGAAGTCCATTTTTTCTAGTTTTTTTTAGATGTGAAGTTATTAATAATTTTTTTATAATCAAATTTTTCTAATAATTTTTTCAATTGACAATATAGTTAATCCATTTGACCTCTCTTCAGACATTATTAATTTCGAAAAACTTCTTTCTTCTGAAGTAATGGTAATAGGACTTCTTAAAATTATTCTATAAGCAATATAGGCATTTGGAAAAGAATCAAATCTTTTTATTTGATTGAGTATATCAATTAAACTATTATCTTATTGTACTATTTTCCTTAACACCTTTAATTTAGAAATAAATCTAAACCATCAATATCGGATTGATTATTAAGCTTCAAGGAACACTCAAGATTAAAACAGTATTTTTCTAAATTTTCATCATCTAGTGATCTCACATTTTTACGCTAAATAGAAAACCAAAAATATTTTCATATGCCTCGAATTGTCAAATCTATTTTGAAGTGAACAATAAAAAGTAATTAACTCTGAAAGACTCTTCAAGATATTTTGAGATTTCAATATCAATATTCTCGTCAATTTTTTTTCTATATATCACACGTTTCTTACGAAGTTCGGGTTTGGTTTTCATTTCCTTGGCAAAAATTATACCAGTTGCAAATCCTTTTGCCCCTTAAGTCTTTAAAACCACAAATTTTAAGTCTTCTTTTTTAACAAAAAAAAAAAAAACCATGACGAGTCAAACATCCTCATCTAAATTGAAATATAGGGAAAATATATAATATATTAGGTGTAACAAAAAATGGGGCCTTCACAAATGTGGGGCCTAAAGCAATTGCTTTACTTGCTTTATGATAGGGCCGCCCCTGCTGCCCGGAGATCTCTCTTGCCTATTTTTTGAACTTGCAGTTATCTCCTTATGCTGCAAAATCCCTACAGCATCCTCCTGCTCATTGTTCAATGTGTCAAGCATGTTTGAGCTTCTGATTTTGCTTCATATTATCACATCATCCAACTGCTGAACTTGCTGGAACAACCTGATTTCTATTCCTTTGTGTTTTTTCTGTGCTAGGTGGTGTATTAGCTCGATTAACTACTGTCCAATCTCGACCTTTAACTTGTTACACAGGTTGGGGCTTTGATGCTACTGTATCAGCTGCCCCCTTATCAACAACATTTATAGTAGCAGCTTCCAAAACCTCAGTTTGTGCACCAGCATCAAGAGCAACAGATGCTTTAATTTGTTCACCTGCTTCACACCTGTTTGTGTTCATTTCATTTCTTGATATTGTAACTTTATTAGTTTTCTTGAATATTTGCACATCTGATAGTCTTGGAAGAGTAATATTCCAGCTCCCTTCTCAAAAGAATACTTCGTTCCGCAACCAAGAAAAGCCACCTCAGCACCGTCATGCTTAGTATGATTTTCATCCACAAAAAGATTCATTTTCTGTTTTGGTTCCTGCTGCTGTAGTTAGTTTCTTCTTATATCATTTTTTTTTGTATTTTCCTTTGCTGTTGTCTCGGGTCATGGATTGGTTATCCAATCTATTTTCTGGAAAAACTGTAAGAGTTCTATGACATGGATTTCTGTCCATGTGTTGATTCGTTCAGCATATGCAGGCTCTCCGCTAATCATATAAATTTATAACGCAGAATTTCTACAGGGCATCCAAGTTTTATGCTTTTGAATGTC